GAGAGAGAGAGAGAGGAGAGAGAGAGAGAGAGAAAGTAACAGGGAATGGAAATGTAATGGAGTAAATTTACGAGATATAAAGAATTGGTAACACGAATTTCAGATTAAAAGTTGTTGAAATATTGTTGTTTACGACTCGAGCACGATGTTTCGCAAACAGAATATCGAATCGTAATCTGGATTTAAAATGGCGGATTTCTTTGAGGTTTGATTCGAGTGCTGATTGTCAGCACGAACTCGATAATCACTACGGGCAGAGAATGAAACGGTTACGTGCAGAAAAACACTATGTTCCCCTTGCCGTAATTATAGCTGTTGGTTGAAGGCGACGAAAGGTGCGAAGTGTCGTTAGATCGTTACCCGGGAACGCGAGCGACATCCTTTAACGAACCGAGTCTGTCATTTGCCGCCACGAAATTTTCTACTTTCCACTTGTAGACACCTGTGCCAATTCGAGTGGAAGGACGAATTGTAATTTAAATTATTATCGCTCGAGTAATTTTATTATGATTACAGAAGAGGGAAAATATTTGCACTCCGTATATTTATATCGTGTAATTAATTTTCAAGAAAATAAAATGTGCAAATAATTTATAACCATTTGTATCTGATAACAAATTAATAATAAAGTATTTTTTGTAATTAATAGTTTCAAGTATAATTAAGTTTCAAGTAATTGAAATTTATTTATTCGTTTAAATGATATTATGCAAGTTTGTGTAATATTACACAAATATTGTATGAAAATATGAGATATTACGGAAACTTTTAATCAAATTTGAGAAAAAAAATTAATCGAATTATCGAATTTATAAAACATAAATATTTATTATAAGAACAAGCACATTGATGGAAAGAAAATTTCCATTATTTTTTATTATTTGTTGGGATATTGAATTCTAAAATACGAGTACTTTGAGAATAAATTTAATACGATTTTCAATCTATTAAATAATTAATTTAAAATTTCAAAGTGATAAGTGATAACTACTTGAAGAACACAGTTATCTTTTACATATAATAATGAAATGGGAATATATAATATTTATGCAAAAACCTATAAAATGCATAACATGAAATAGATTCACAGATTTGAAGAATAATAAAAAAAAAAAAACATTAGAAACTTGTCAAATTAAAAATTCAAATTGACTTTTAAACTTTTCATGTTGCTCAATTTTTGCAATTATCATAAAACTCGATTCAATTTCTCTTAAGAAAAATTTTTTTTTTATTATTATTTACTTATTTACCGAACAGAAACGTAATTACAAATGTATCACTGTTCCCGCAATAATATATTTTGCATAATATATGAAAACGCAATATGAATTAGTAATTCTAATAAGTAGTAATTAGCGGGTTCTATTAAATTCCGTTCTTGTTTTGACTCGCGTTCAAATTTTCATCTTCACATAAAGATTCACGGAAACAAGTTAGATTAAAAAAAAAATATATATATATATATCCACGTGCGATAAAAAAAGCTATTTATAGCTTGCACACGTTATTTTCACGTAAACAACGATACGCAATGATATTTCCATTCCTTCCATATCTTCTTTATGTAATTCTTATCAACGTTTATCCTACTCCCCCAAGGGAGTGGAAATACGTCTCCGAATTAATCAAACCGTGAAGCATGAAGAACATTTTAATACGGGGCCCGGA